CCCGCCTCCCCGCCGGGCGTCTGCCTCCGCACCTGGCCACACCCCCTCCTAGCCTCTAGCCAACTGCTGTCAAAGGCCCAACCCTGCCCCTCCCACACCGCCCCTGAACTTAGCTCCGCCCACCAGTTTTTCTTATCTAAAGCGGGCCAAATTTCCGGCCTTGGACTTCATCCAAATAGCTAGCCCGGCCTCCTCCCCACCCCCTTTCCAGGTTCAACCTTCCCTCGTGCTTTAGATGCACTTAGCCTCAGCCCTAACTCCCCTTTCTACAAATCGGACTGTCAAAGGGCCGGGGAGAGGGCTCAGTAGAATAAGCGATTCCTGGGCAAGCGCAAGGGCCTGAGTTCAATCCCCGGTTAAATCGGACTGAGCCCCAGCCTCCGAACCTGGTCCTGCTTCCCTTCTAGCCTTTCCTCTAGCCCTTCAACTCCAGCACCGCCTTCTCATCACACCCCCAACGGTGATCTTGCCCAACAGCAGCGCAGGGTGCCCCATCTAGCCTAGGCACGCCCCCCCTCCCAAGCCCGCCCACCTAAATTCGTGTACCTCGAGGACATCCTGCCCCTGCCCCCTGAGGCACCTGCTGCTTCCCTTCTACCGTTAAGCTGAGGCTCAGGTGTCCTGAAGTCAGTCCAACCTCACACTGAGGGCCCAGCCTACCCTTCACCTTGGCCACACTCCTCTAGCAACTCCACTACCTATGTCTCCTCCCCCTCGAGCCAAGTTCCAATGGGCTCCTGAGAGGAGAGAACACTGCCTGGAGACCCAGAAAATTCCCCTTCTGCTGCCCCCTCCCCATCAAGGCGGGGAAGCTTCAGTCCCCTCCCAGCAGCGTCTTCAGGAGCTCGGGGAATCCTGCGAGGGGGGAGGGAAGAGGAATCAGGGAACAGAGACTAGAGGACCCTTTCACCCCGCCTCTTCTGCTGCAGAAAAGCCCGCCAAGCACAGCACCCAGCCTGCCCGTCATAAACATGGAGCAGAAGTTAGCGGAAGCACTGCTTTTAATGCAGACGGCTGGCTAGCATAAGTCCTGCGGAAGTTACAGCAGGGCCAAGCCCAAGGGGTAAAGTCTTAGAGCCCCGGTGGCACGGTGTCTCCCAGGTGTAGCACCTGGACAAGTCCTCGCTGCACCTCGGCGCGGACGGACCCCGGGTCCTCCCCCGTGCAGGTACCCCACTCCTGGCCCAGTGCAGCAGAAGCAGAGGGGCAAGGTGAGGCCAAAGTTAGTGTACACGGTTGGCTGCGGCTGCTGTGGTCAGCGGGCGGCCCCCGAGGGTGAGGCGGCCGCCACCACCTTGCAGAAACGCACCCTCTGGAAGTCGGTGATCTCCGCCGTCTCCTGGCCCTGCGGACCCGCCTCTGCAGAGAGAAGCCTCAGTCAGAGAAGTGGCACAGCCTTCCTGCTACCCTTGTCTGGCCTGGCCCCTCATCCCTTCACCAGGCAGCGTCCCAGCCCGGGACATATTCCTTTGACCCTGAAGGTATCCCCAAAGCTGCACACACCCGGCAGAATCAGAGCAGCGCTACTGTTGGATCGCAGCCACCAGGAAACTTGCCAGAGCGTCCGCTGGGCCTGCACCCAGGCACCACACCATTTCAGGGTCCCAACCACCAGCCAGCTAGGCCTGCACGGCAGCCCTCTACCGCAAGCTGAGGCTCAGGTGTCCTGAAGTCGGTCCAACCTCACGCTGAGGGCCCAGCCTCACCCTTCACCTTGGCCACACTCCTCCTCTAGCAACTCCACTACCTATGTCTCCCTCCCCCTGAGCCTTGGGGTTTCCCACCACCATGCCCTAACCAGCCCTGTCTCAGAAGAAAATGAAGGGATTCAGTCCCTTGCTCCCACCCTGTGGGCCTGGAAATTCTAACAGGCATGTATTTCTACCCTTGTCGATCCCACTTGGTTGCACCCCAAATCTCCAATCCTGCCCCATGGGGGCACCTCACACCTCCAGCCCACATCCTTTTGCTCTTCAGAGCCCAGTCCAATCCTTAGGCCTGGGGCCATGGAGATGGCTCAGTAGAATAAGTGCTTGCCTGGCAAGTGCAAGGGCCTGATCCGCCAAAAAAAAAATCCTTAGTGCCCTAGTTGTCCACTAAGGCTCTACCTTCTACCCTCCTTAAGCCCTGGGGTCCAGCCCTGCTCCTCAACCAACACAATCCCCCCAGCACATCCAGCAATCCCCCCACAGGCCACCCCGCAGTCCCGCATCCTCCCAGCTGCCCAAGCCCTGGGCCACAGCCCCAAGCAGGAGGGGGCTGGCAGGCCAAGCACCTCCCCAGCCCTGCACCCCCCACCTGCAGTTGCCTCAGACCCCTCCTCTTCTGCTTTCTGGGTTCCTGGAAGGCCTGGCCTACTCTCCAGGGAGGCAGGGCCTGGCTGGTCACCTCCTGGAGAACGGGAGGCCCAGTCAAGCTCCTGCTCCTCCAAGTAGCTCCCAACCCCTGGAGAAAGCCCAGGGGAGAGGGGACTTAAGGACACAGCTGGGGGACTATCACTTGAGAGTATGAATTCTTTATTGGGGAAGGGTTCTGAATGACTTGGGGCAGGCTCTGAGAGTGGGCATGCCAGGGATGCAGGGCACAACAGCACAGAAGGGACATAGACTGCCCTCCTCAGCCTCCAGGGCTGTGAGGGACAGGGTCCCCAGGACCCATCATACCCCTCGTTCACACACAGGCAGCCAGCGTCATACATTCCCAAAAGGCCAGGCCTCACCCGGAGAGGGGGCGCCAGCCGGTTCGGCTGTCCTGGGAGAGTTCAGCTCCATCTCCTCACCCCAGTCAGACACGGGCTGATGGCCGCCAGGTGGTGAGAAGGGGCTGGAAGGCGTCTCGGGGGCCGGCTCACTAAGAGGGCTCCCAGTGCACTCAGCCTCTCCGCCTTGGTGCTCCTGGGCTAGCTCTTCCTCCTGTTCTGGTGCTCCTTGTTCCTCTTCGCTGTCCCCCTCCACCTCCTCCTCCTCCACGTCCTCTTCCTCCTCGTCCTCAGTCACATCCTCACTCACGTCCTCCCATTCCTCATCTTCTTCCCCCTCGTCCTCAGGAGGCCGATGGGCAGTGGCCGCAGTCTCTGAAGGCTGGAGGCACAGGGATAGGTCAGTGAAAGGCTGTGGCCCCGGGGCATCCTCACCCTCCCCCATGCCCTACCTGCACAGGGGTCTCCTCCAGCTGTGGGGCCTCAGGGGTTGGGGACACTACCTCCTCTTTTGTCTCCCAACGGTCATCATGGTCACTGGAGGGCACAGAGGAGGGTGAGGGCTGGAGCAGGGGCTGCCTACCTCCCAAGGCCCCCAGTATGCTGCACAGGGGTGAGGACTGTGGACATGAATCCCCACATCAGAGGACAGGTCAGACACAAGGGCCCAGGCAGCAGAAGTAGAGATAGAGGCCAAGGGTGAAAGGAACAGGGGTCATGCCAAGATCCAGACCCCAACTCCAAAACCAAGTGTCCAAGAGACAGGGCCAAGACAAATGGACCTGCACCCATGAGAGCCAGACAGAAGGACCCAGGGCAGAGCCACGCTGCCCCTCATGGGAGGGGCGGCAAGGTGCAAGGTAGAGGGCACCCCACCTGTAGGACCGGGGGGCTGCCTTGGGCTGGGGTTGGCTGCTCTTTCTTCGCCGACGGCTGCTGACCTCAGCTTTGTGCTTTGACAGGAATTCCCCAAAAGTGGGAGGTTTGGGGGGCCGGACCCAGCCCCTGTCATCACCTGGCAACAGAAGCCAGGAAGTAGGGGAAGAGGGTATCACAAACCACCTCCCCAGCCCAGTACCCAGCCCCGGCCGCTGCTGTGCCCCACAGTGTGTGCAGCCACCACTCACCATAGTGATGCGATGGTTCCTGGACAGGGGCTGGTCCATCCCTGAACCTGGGAAAGAAAAGAGAGGTGCATATGTGGGTAGGGATGACGGAGCAGGGAGCAGGGAAGAGAGCAGGGGGACAGATGGAGACCAGGGACAGAGATCAGATCAGAGGAAGGCCGCCCACCGGAAGGTCACTAGCTATGATAGGAACAGCTGAGATAGAAAAAGGAAAAGAGAAAGTAGAATTTGGCCCCAAATTAAAAGTTGGGGTGAGTCGCCTCACACCCTGACAAAGGACATCCCTAGCTGCTGGCCACCCTCACTCCCTGTCTTTTCCCATCACACCCAGCTCCTGCCTCAGGGCCTCTGCACCTGCTGCTCCCCGAGCATTCTCTTGACCTTGGTAGCTCACTCCTTCACACGCCTCAGATCTCATGTAGCTCAAAGGGGTCCATTCTTAACTCCTACACAAAATCCCTGTATCATCTAAGTCTGAACTGACGACCCCCAGGCCCAACTCTGCTCTATTTATGACCTGAAATTCGAGCTACTTGTTGCTCATCTTTCCCAGCAGATTCCAAGCTCCATAAAGACAGGATCATTTTTTTTTTTTTTTTTTCCCGGAACCGGGGATTGAACTCAGGCCCGTGCGCTTGCCAGGGAAGCGCTTATTCCACTGAGCCATCTCCCTGGCCCTAAGGCAGGATCATTTTGTTCATGGCTGTACCCCTATTACTGGAACCTTCCCGGACACTAATGAGCCTCAATAATGTTCACTGATGGAATCAACACACCAGTGTGTTGCACTTGCTGCAGCTTGCTTTGGAGACACAATGAACAATTTCCTAGATCTTAATCCTATAAACAGCCTAGCCTTAGAAAGACCCTATACCACACCTGTATAATTCTCACTGCTGCACTCATGACCCAAACAAAATGTTCTTTAAAACAAAAATGTTGTTGGCCACTAGACATATAGATACAAGTCTTTTCTTTCACTAGAGCCAACTTGAAAGGGGCTATAAGTGCCAAGTGTGCTGCAGCAGGCCTGTGATCCCAGCACTCCAGAGGCTGAGCCAGGGGACTGCCACGAATTCAAGATCGGCCTGGGCTACGCAGGGAGCCTCTCTCAGCGGCTCCCAAAGGGCTCCATATACATAAAAACCTCAACGCAGTAACAGATGGGGTGGGGAAGCACCTGAAGCTGCCATTCACTGGCTCTTCCAGAACCTTCTACATAGCTATGGAAGTCAGTCCTTAACAAAACACAGTGACGCCCTTTAAGTTTGATTGGATGCTTCCTGGGACTCAAAAGGTGGCAGTTAAGGTTGAAGATGACAATGACACAAGGTTAAGAAGTGACAAGGCCTAGAGAGAAGGTCAGGGCTAGGTTGGAGGGGGCAGATCAGAGGAATACACAGTGAGGGTGCAATGGCTCCATCACTGCCGGTGACCTGTCACAGCCTTTTAATTACAGAGCTGTCTTGAAACACGAGAGTGGGCAGAGCCCACTTCTTGCCCAGCTAAGGAACAGTTGGGGTCTGCTCGCCCACTGTGTGTCTAATGACACCAGGACTGGGTCTCCCTGGACAGCTGCCCCTTGGCCTGGACTCACAGTTCACACAGACCTAGGCAAAAGCATCATTCTGGTGCGGGAGCAAGCACCAACCTCCACAGCCACACAGAGTGCAGCAGAGGGGCTCACAAAGGCAGTCTGGAAAGATGGGAGGCTTAGAGTCACACCACCTCCCACACACCTACACCCTGTCATGATGGCTAAAGAACAGAGAATTCAGTTTCAGTGCACCTGAGCTCTACCTGCATCAAGGAGCCAAGGTGGGACCACAGCTGTGTCCAGCCCGGTGGACTAGGCTTGTGGTGAAGAAAGACTCACGAAACACTAGACCCTGGTAAACTCGCCAGCCACCACTGACACCCAGGATGGGTAGAAAAGGCCAGGCCCAGGCCCAGGAGGCAAGGCAAGGCGTGACTCACATGCCCTCGGTTTTCTCTGCATCCCACTCTCTTCGCCACTGGCCAGTGGGCTTTCGGTGTCGCTGCAGCCACTCCTGGTCGATCTTCTCCCTCTCCTGCTTCCAGCGCAGGTATTCTGAACGCTCCCGGCCCGTCATGGACATCGTCATGTCACCAGCACTACCCGGACTGGCACGGCGACCCTGCCCCCAGCCAAAGACAGTCAGGGGCCTCTTCCCTGTGTGGCAGTCCTGCCCCAAAATGCAGAGTGGGGCCATCTGCTCAAGGTCACACTGGGAGGTGGTGACAAGCACCTGGGCTCAGTGACCTCAGAGAGCCTCTCATGGGGAAAGGTTCAGCTGCATACACTAGCTCATCTTCCTGGGCAATTCTGGTGGTGGTGACACTTGGGTCACCTGGCCCCTTACTGGATCGTGACCAACCTAGCTCCCTGCCTGTGGCAGACCACAAACATAAATTGTTTGTAAAAACAGAAAATAAATAAATAAAAACCCAGGTTTGATGACATGTGCCTATCATCTTAGCTACTCAGGAGACTGAAGCAGGAAGATTTAAAATTCTTGCTAAGTTGCCCAGGATGGGCAAGACCCTGTCTCCAAGGGCAGAGGGTGACTCAGTGCAAAGGCCCTGGGTCGATATGCAACACCACAGTAACGAGGAGAACACTGATCCCAGCACAAAACTCAACAACTGGTCTGTCCTGAACCCCAGTAAACCTGGCGGTCTACACTCAGTCCACAAAAAGGCAGAGCAGGGAGCCAGCTGCCAGCACCTACCTGCCGCTCATGCTCCAGGCCACAGCGCACCCGCTCGAAGTCGGGGCCTCCCCAGTTGCGGCCGTGCCGGCGGCTGCCCTCCCGGCGGCGGTCTCGCTCAGGTTCCTCCAGGGCTCCGCCGCGTCGCCGGGGGTCATCCAGGAAGTTGCGCACAGGGTTAGGCTCCAGCACCCCCTCCTGCAGGCACAGCAGGGTTGGCAGGGGCCGCGGCCTGGAGGGCTGCCCTCCGCGCCACCCGCCGGCAGCACTGACCCGCTGGCTGCGCTCGTACTCTGCAATCTTCTCCATCTCCTCGTTCATCTTCTCAATGTTCTGTCTGCGCC